AAAAAAAAAAAAATATATGGGACAATTTGAACATCCAAAAGAATAATTGATTTTCTTAAGTGGAGTAATGGTATGTGGCTCAAAAGAATGTTCCTGTTCTTAGAGATGCATCCTGAAATATTTAGGGTTAAGATTCATATCTAAACCTATTTTTTGTTTTGGCAGAAAAGAAGGGTATCAAAAAACTAAAGGCTGAATGTTCTGATAGGCAGATGCTTAAGGAGGAGTGGGGAAAAATAGAAGTTCACTGGATTAGACAAAGGGAAATGAAGAGAATGGAGAGGGATGGAAATAGGAAAGACAGTAGACTGAATCAGACATAACTTTGCTATATTCACGTATGAATACATGACCAGTGTAACTACACATCATGTACAACCACAAGAATGGGAAGTTACATTCCATGTATGTATAATATGTCAAAATACATTCTACTGTCATGTATAACCAAAAAGAATAAATGAAAAATTTTTTTAAAAAAAAGAAAAGAAGGGTATTTGGGAGTATGTAAAAGAAGTGGAGCCAGGGGGCTGGGGATGTGGCTCAAGCGGTAGCGCGCTCGCATGGCATGGGTGCGGCCCGGGTTCAATCCTCAGCACCACATACAAATAAAGATATTGTGTCCGTCGAAAACTAAAAAATAAATATTAAAAAAAAAAATAAGAAGTGGAGCCAAAGCCAGGCATGACGGCACAGACCTGTAATCTTTAGTGGCTGGGGAGGCTGAGGCAGGAGAGCTGCAAGTTCAAAGCCAGCCTCAACAATTTAGGGAGGCCCTAAGCAATTTAGTGAGACCCAGTCTCAAAATAAAAAGGGCTAGGGATGTGGATAAGAGGTTAAACGTCCCTGGGTTCAATCCCTGGTATCAAGAAAAAAAAAAAAAAAAAGGCAGAGCTGTATGGCAAAATGTTAACAGTGAATCTGGGTGAGAGATGTAGGAGTGTTTATTGTACTTTCTTTTGTTTTTGAATTTGAAAATTCTCAAAAATTGTCAGGTGTGGTGGCACATGCCTGTAATCCTAATGATACAGGTGGCTAAGGCAGGAGGATCACAGGTTGGGACCAGCTTCAGCAACTTAGTGAGATCATCTCAAAATAAAGGGGGCTGGGGGTGTAGCTCAGTGCTAGAGTATCCCTAAGTCTCCCAGTGCTGAAAACAAAACAACACAACTAAAAAAAAAAATTTTTTTTTAATCCTACTTGGAAGACTATGGTAGGAAGATAGCAAGTTGAAGGTCAGCCTAGGCAACTTAGTGAAACCTGTCTCAAAAATAGCCAGGTGTTATTGGGTATGGTGGTGCACATCTGTAATACCAGCAACGCAGGAGCCCAAGGCAGCAGGATTGGGAGTTCAAAGCCAGCCCCAGCAATTTGGCAAGGCCTCATGTTACTTAGCAAGATACTGTCTCAAAATTTTTAAATAAGCTGGGTGTGATGGCACATGCCTATAATCCCAGTGGCTCAGGAGGCTGAGGCAGGAGGATTGTGAGTTCAGAGCCAGCATCAGCAACTTAGTTAGGCCCTAAGCAACTCTCGAAATTGTCTCTAAATAAAATACAAAAAAAATGGGTGGAGTTGTGGCTCAGTGGTTAAGTGCCCCTGGTTCAATACCCAGTTCCAAAAGTGAGGGAAAAAATGGTGTGGTTGCCTGTTATTCCAAGCAACTCTGGAGACCATTGCAAGGTAGCAAGTTGGAGGCCAGTCTCAGCAACCTACTGAGACCCCTTTCCATCTCAAAAAATAAAAAGGGCTGGGTGTAGCTCAGTGGTAGAGGACCCCTATGAATTGTACTGCATTCAATCTCCAGTACAGTAAATAAATAAAAATAAAAAGGGATAGGGATGTGGCCCAGTAGTAGAGCACTTTCCTATTATGCACAATACCTTGGGTTCAATCCCCAGTACCATAAATCAATAAACAAATAAAAGTTTTAAAAAATATATAAATATGGGGCTTGGGCTGTAGCTCAGTGGTAGAGCGCCTGCCTCTCATATGTGAGGCCCTGGGTTCGATCCTCAGCACCACATAGTAAGTAAAGATACTGTGTACATCTACAACTAAAAAAATATTTTAAAAAATAAATAAATTATATATATATCCACAACTGGTAGGGGCTGGAGTTCTGGGCTGATATGTCTGGGCTGATATGTTTGTGTATATTGTTCCCCTTCTTTTTAGATTCAAGAAATCCATGGTGAAAAGTTTGGATTCCTATGAGGAAAAAGAGGATGAAGTGATCAAAGAGGTAAGTTAAAGGACCTCTGAAGGACTCCCCCATGATCCTACACCTGTCTAAGTAGCCTGTCTCCCACAGATGGCAGCTCAAATTCGTGAGGTGGAGCAGAGCCGGCAGGAGGTGGTCAGATCTGTCTTAGAGGTTGGTTTCCCTCGGAGGATCCAGAGCAGTATCCAATCCAAATCCACTGATCCCTCACTTTCCCAGGTCCAGCATTTCAACAATCAGATCTTCTAAGACAACTCAAGGACTTCATTCCACATCTGCTTGGCTTGAATTCCTTACCTGTCCACCAGGGGGCAGGTCTAGTCCGAGAAGATGTGGGCAGGGCTGGGAGGGAGTTTGCAATTTGGGCAGTACCCTTCATGATACTGGGGATTAGAGCATGGGGGCATGGCCTAGGTAGGCACTTAAGCACCTTAGACACATTTATTTTTCCTGAATCAAACTCAGCCTCAGGCAGAGCCAGACCCAGAAGAGAGCTCCTCAGCACTTGGAAGCTGGAAAGGGAGAAACAGGTAAGATTATTGGGAATCTCTTTGATTATTAGATGTCTTAGAGCAATCTATAATCTTTTGGCTGGGAAATGGGAACAGATCTAATCTTTGCCATCCTTGTGGCTCAAGGACCTCATCTGCCAGCCTGAGCCTGTTTGTCTTTCAGCCAAGTAGCTTCCAGCTCACAGCAACCCTCATACTTGGACCAGCCACCAGTTCCAGACCTTGACTGGATGGAAGCAGGACAGCCTCTGACATTCATTGGCCATCAGGTACAACAAACAAGCCTGCCAATGCCCACTCAGATCCCAGTACAACCTTCTTTTCTGCTTATTCTCCTGGGCCCATTTCCATCTGTTTTGTAGGCTTTACCCTTTTATTACACTGTTTCTTAGTTCTGTGTCCTTAGATCTCTTTTCTCATCTTTCAGAGTGATCTTATCCACACTTGTTGCCATCATTGCCAAAGAAATGCTAACCCCTAGTGTTTCATCTCAATACAGGCCATTCATACATCAGTATCTCACAAGCATCTGAAGGTAACCCCTACTACTCTACTGTATTTTCACTCAAGTAAACACAGATCCTTGCCCTCTTTTCATCTCCAATTTGTCCCTTAGTCCATCAATTTTAGATCTGCCTCAGTTCACCCTTGGGACAATTTCTACTCCCTTTGCAGTACTCCCCTTCCCCAAACCACTGCATCACCTGCATCCCAACTGTGCTGGAGCTGCTTCCACACCTGCCATTGTTTTTCCTTCCCCTCCTCTACCCCTAGTTCACATCACTTTTTCACAGGCATATTTGAACCGGCCTCTTCTATTAATGGATGTAGTACCACATAGACCCCCAAATGTAATCTGTAATACATGTGTGCTGTGAGGCCCAGGGTTTTATGTTGCATATGGTACGTATGCCACTTTTGGACTCATCTACCATTAGGATCATTAGCCTTGCTGTGCCTATAATCCCAGCAACTGAAACAAGGTACTGGGTTCAATCCTCAGCATCACATAAAAAAAAAAAAAAAAAAAAAAGGTATTATGTCCATCTACAACTAAAACAATATTTAGAAAAAAGCAGGGGTCGGGGGATTGGTTCCAGGTGCGGTGGCACACTCCTGAAATCCCAGTGACTAGGGAGGCTGAGACAGGAGAGTAGTGAGTTCAAAGTCAGCTTCAGCAATGGCGAGGCACTAAGCAATGTAGTGAGACCCTGTCTCTAAATAAAATACAAAAAAAATAGGGCTGGGGATATGGCTCAGTGGCCCAGTGCCCTAGTTCAATCCCTGGTACCAAAAAAAAAAAAAAGAAAAAGTGGTGGGGGCTAGGAATGTAGCTCGGTAGCAGAATACCCCTAGGTTAAATCCCCAGCCCCCCACCCCCAAAAAAACAAAAAAAACTCTCACACACAACCCTAAGCCTCTTCAAGCCAGGACTACTCCAGTGACTCCTCACTTTTCAGGTTTAACATCACCAGAGTGCACAATTTAGTGGGGGTTGTATCTACCTCCTTTGTCTCTAGCTATGAGTATCCTATTATCTCTTTGCTTTCTTATCTAGGATTTTCTTTCTTTTTTCCATTTCCACTACAGGAAACACCTGGAGTTGGTAACATTCACTCAGGTAAGGTCCTGGAAAGGTTTTTTAAAATGAGGCAGATATTTTTTAATTTTTGGTACTGGGAGTTGAACCTTTATTTTTATGTAGTGCTGAGGATTGAACCCAGTGCCTCACATATGCCAGGCAAGCACTCTACCACTGAGCCATAGCCTCCCACATCCTTTTTGAAGAATACAATTTATTAAGATAAAGCATGAGTGTCTACATAAAAATAAGGGCTGGCGGGGGCCTGGCTCAATGTTTGTAAAGCAATTTCTAATTGCACCAAAAAAAAAAAAAAAAAAAAAGGAGAAAAAGACCCAACCGATTGCATATGAAGAGCTGGCCATGATGATGTCTACCAGTAATCCCAGGTACTCTGGAGATTCACAAGTTTCAAGGCTAGAATGGGCAACCTGAACTTGGTGCAGAGGTCTTGCATAACCTGCTCTAAGCCTTGACTCAATCCTCTGCTCTGGCAATGAGAGGGTGGAGCTGTTTTTAAGTGTACACTAAATCAGCCTAGGATCTTTAGGACTCCAGAAATCTGATTTCTTAACATTTCTAGTTGTTAATTATGTGAGCTAACAGTTAGGGCATATTCCCTAATAGCACAAAGATTTTTTAAAAAGGTACTTCATTCAGTTTCTGTCAAAAATTTCTGAGTTTTCTTTTTTCAGGTGCCACACCTCCCTGGATGATCCCAGATGAGGAACACAGCCCTGGGAATCAACAAATAGGACCTTCCTATGAAGAATTTCTTAAAGAAAGTAAGCAAACTAATTCAAGGATTTAAGATTCTTTAAATCTTCATACTCAAAATTATTTCCTGTCATTGCAGAGGAAAAACAGAAACTGAAGAAACTGCCCCCAGATAGAGTTGGGGCCAATTTTGATCATAGCTCCAGCACCAGTGCTGGATGGCTGCCCTCTTTTGGCAGAGTCTGGAACAATGGACGCCGCTGGCAGTCTAGGTATGGACCCAATGCTTATGACTCTAACCACCCCTTTGGAGATTATCACCCTTCATACTGGTATCCCTTCATTTCCTTCAGGCATCAATTCAAAACTGAAGCTGCAGTAAGGAACAAACAAAAGGAAAAAAGCTAATTTCAAGATACTCTTCAATCACCATAAGGTTCATCACAGTATTTTATTCCCTCTACCAAATCCTTTCCTAGAAAATACACATACCCATTCATTTGTTTTAATAAAGTTTTATTTTTTCAAATGTACAGTTGTTTGGACCTGTAAAAAGAAAAAAGAGAAATCAGAATCAGAGCCTTGTAAAGGAAACGGAATGTATACTTCCTTTGCCACAAAACCCTGTGTTCCTGCTCACCTGTTCATGCATCTTCACCAGCAGCTGGGGCATCTCCACCCTTGGTATTTCTGGTATAAATTACTTGAGCTCTATGCTTTGAAACCAGTTTGATAAGTCCTAGGAAGGAAAGATAGCTTAATTTTACCATTGTTTCTGAGGAGGTGGTGTAGCGAGGCACTATAGATTGATTCAATCTCTAGCACCATGAAAGGGAGAAGGTGGTGAACCCAGTGGCGCATGCCTGTAACCCCAGCTAGTTAGGAGGCTGAGGCAAGATGATTCGAAGTTTGAAGCCAGCCTCAGCAACTGAGCAAGAATTAAAATAAATGAGGGCTGGGTATGTGGCTCAGTGGTTAAGTTAAGTGCCCCTGGGTTCAATCCCTGACACCCCCACCCCCTAAAAAGCATTACTTCCATATGTACTATATAATTGAGTTAATTTGTTATCATACCCAAAGTAAAATTATGACACTCAAATCCACCATTCAACTTAATGCATCGATAAAAATGACTTCACTCTAAAGTCTTCTTAACAAGAATCTTTTTTTTAATTGTGAATCAGGCACATGGACACATGCATTTAATTCCAGCTACATGGGAGGCTGAAGCAGAACCACAAGTTCAAAGGCAGCCTCACCAACCTAGTGAGACTCTGTCTCAAAAAAAAAAATAAAAAGGGCCGGGGATGTAACTCAGTGCTATTGTGTTCAATCCCCAGTACCAAAGTAGTAATAAATAATAATCAGGGCTGGGGATGTGGCTCAAGCGGTAACAAGCTCGCCTGACATGCGTAAGGCCCAGGTTCGATCCTCAACACCACATACCAACAAAGATGTTGTGTCCACCGAGAACTAAAAAATATTAAAAATTCTCTCCCCCCCCTTAAAAAAAAATAATAATCAAAGCCAATGCTCATGGCTTTGATTATAATTATTATTATTTTAATGCCTCCTCCTGCCCTTAATTCCAACTGCTTTTCCAGTAAAAGCATTTAAGATGGCTAACATGAAGACAACTCAACCATTAAAAGCATACCATTACAAACACATCCCTCACCTTTACTGAGGAGCTCCTGAAGGGCTGCCCTGGCCAGGGAACCTCGAATCTTCAGTCTCTCAGAGACCACAGCTGGGGTAATAAGCTTATAGTTGGGAACTTCCTTACAGAGTTTGTCATAAGTAGCTTTGTCAAACAAGACTAAATTGTTGAGCTTGTCCCGAACTTTGCCTTTGGACCACTTCTGCTCACAAAGACAAATAGAAAAACTAGTTAAATTCTGACAGAAGCACCTATCCCTTTGCAGCAACATTCATCAGAGTTCAGAGAAATCTCTTCCACTGTTAACATCATGAAGGTGCAGATTGCAAAAATAAGAAACATACGGGGGGGGGGGGGGAATATGGGCAGAGTATGTTAAAAAGCAACGTGTGCTAGTCAATAGAGTAAACCCTTTATACACGTTTACTAGTCTATTCTTAAAACTTTTAAAAATGGCGATGGGAGGCTGAGTTCGATCCTCAGCACCACATAAAGATAATTGTATCCATCTACAGCTAAAAAATGAATTTTAAAAAATGACGAAGGAAACCTAATTAACGTGACTCTAAAACCCACAACTTGAGAAAACCACTTGGTACACTAGTCATTTATTAGGACTGGGGATGTGGCTCAGTGGAAGAGGGGTTCTCCAGCCTGTAGTAAGCCCTGGGTTCAATCTCTAGTACCATAAGCAAAAGAAAGTTCAGGTCATGTTTACCACTAGCATGCCACAGAGGGCGCCCCCATTAAGGGTTCACTCCTACCTTCTTTTTGGCTTTGCCCCCAGATTTGTTCACTGGGTCCTTGTCTTTCTTAGCCGACTTTCCGGCGTCTTTCTTCTTCTTGTCATCCTTGGGTGGCTGCAGGGGAAAAGCAAGCAGGTTTAAGGCAGTCCCATGCTCTCCGACTAAATGCACCCCACCTCGCAGCGCTGCTCCAACCAGAGCACATGGGGCAAGCAATCCCTGCGCCCGCACTGAAGCCCAGCCGCGTAATGCAAGAAGTCCTCCCGCCCAGTGTCACCTTCACTTCGTCCCAGCACCGCTCGCCTCACAGAACCTCGCCACCCTCACACCCGCGAAGCTCACCATAGTTAAGCGTGGAGAGCAGCAACAGCCGCTGGAGCCTCGTCAAGATGTCGGACAAAAAGGAAGCTCTGCTCACCAACAGGCCCAGAAACCTCCGCCCGTCGCGACTACTTCCGGGGCGAGGGGCGGGGCCACGGCGAGGAAATCCTGTGGCGACGCTCTTTCCCTTTCGCCAAAGGCGGGATGAGGGAAATGAACGCCGGTGCCTGAGCCGCGCACTCTAGATACTGCCCCTTGCTTGTTGGACTGCCGCTAGTTATGAAGCAAAGCGCTATCCAGACACCGAGAAGCACAGCAGTACTGCTAGGCCCAGGCGTGTAGCCCCGAGTGCGCAAGCGCCGCAAGTAGCAAGCTGGGGGTTAGGAGGAGAAAGCTGGTGCTGGCCGGGGCAGGTGCTGTGACGGCAGTTCCGGGGCGGGACTTCGAGAAGTAACCGGACCCAATTTTTAAGAGGCAGAGGCTGCAATGGCGATTTTTAGCGTGTATGTGGTGAATAAAGCTGGTGGCCTCATTTACCAGTTGGATAGCTACGCGCCCCGGGCTGAGGCTGAGAAAACGTTCAGTTACCCGCTGGATCTGCTGCTCAAGCTACATGACGAGCGTGTGCTGGTTGCCTTCGGACAGCGCGATGGCATCCGGGGTGGGCTAGTCGCGGGCTGGGGGGGCGGGGCCCGGTTCTCCGGAAATGGGCAGGTGTGGAGATGCGGGATGGGGTTTGGGGTGCGCCTGGGCCCTGGTGGGATCCCTGGCTTGGAGCTTCGCTGACGCTTAGCCTCAACTCTGCAGTGGGCCACGCAGTGCTGGCCATCAATGGCATAGACGTGAACGGCAAGTTCACGGGCGACGGGAAAGAGGTGCTGGAGTATCTGGGTAACCCTGCTAATTACCCGGTGTCCATTCGGTTCGGTCGGCCCCGCCTCACCTCCAATGAGAAGCTTATGCTGGCCTCCATGTTCCACTCGTAAGTTACCTCAACCCTTCCTAGTGGGTTGGCCTGCATCTAGCTGTCCACTGGCTGGTGTAGTGTGGTTCTGTGGGCACTTCTGGACAGCAGTGGTAATCTTTCTATACCTCCTCCTCATAAGTCACAGGTTATGAAAAGGAAACTGATCCAGTATGTCTAGGTTTTATATAATATAGTGATGTGACCTTGCCTAAGTTTCTCTTTTGTAAGCCTGTTTCCTCATTTGTAAGGCAATTGAATTAAATTACCCTTAAAAATCTTGCTCTTAGCTGTATGAAATGAGCTGACTTGGGCCTACCCACCAGCTAAGCAAGTATGCACATATTCCCCAGTGTTTCTTTTACCCGCAGTTTTCAATGTGTTTATAGTACAATATGTAGTGTAAGTTGGGCATGGTGCACATGCTTGTGTGCACTATGCTGCTAGGGAGGCTGAGGCAAGAAGATTGCAGGTTCCAGACCAGCCTCAGCAACTTGGTGATGTCCTGTCTCAAAAATAAAAAAGGACTGGGAGTGTTGTTCAGTGGAGAACACCCCTGGGTTAAGTCCCCAATGTGAGCAAGGAAACAATAAAATATTCGCAGAAGACAAATTAACTTAAAAGAAATTTTGACACTGCTGCCAGGCACTTCTCCTGAGCTGTAAAGTGAACTCCTCAGCATATAAAGTTTGAGAAGCACTCCTCCCTCACAGCCTTGGGGGGATTCCCAACTTTGCCTCCTTTGCATATAGGCTTTTTGCCATTGGCTCCCAGCTGTCTCCGGAACAGGGAAGCTCAGGCATTGAGATGCTGGAGACAGACACTTTCAAACTGCACTGCTTCCAGACACTAACAGGTATGTGTCTCCAGATAGTCCAGTCGGATAGATGGGACAGGCAGGGCCAAGGGATTGATCAAAGACAGCTTTGGTAAGCAAGGATAAGGGTGGTGTTCAGTTTTCCGGGGACAGTGGTACACATACATCTATGTATTAGTTCTGAGAATCCAAAGCCAATATGTAATCTGAGGCTTATTTTGTTTACATCATCTGGCATGCTCAGCCCTGGTTCAGATAAATCACCTGAATGTCATGTTACACCCATTTTGGAAGGTGTATTGTCCCAAAATTAAATATAAAAATCAAATGAAAATGGTCTTTGGATCATGCCATTCCTTCACTCACTTAATACAGTTTGTCCTCTACATGACACTGTTTCTCTAGAAGGATTCCAAGACTGGAAGGAAATGGCAGAACTTGACCTCAAATCTTGGTCTCTCATTTACCTGGTGACATAATAAAGTCACATTCTCTGGTCCCTTCTATAGATGCACAATTTTGCCTTTTCTGCTTTTTGTGGCAACAATAATAAAGTGGGATTGTGACAGTAGTTTATAAAAATTAAAAGTGCTGTAAAAATATAGAATGATGATTGCTATGTTCTCTACCCTTGGGTAACCATTCCTGGTTTCTCTCCAGGGATCAAGTTTGTGGTGCTGGCAGATCCTAGGCAAGCTGGAATAGATTCTCTTCTTCGAAAAATTTATGAAATTTACTCAGATTTTGCACTCAAGAATCCATTCTACTCCCTGGAAATGCCCATCAGGTAAGTGACCTCACTCGCCAGATACTGGTCAAAGCCTTGTGCTCTACCCAAAGTCTTTTGAAGTATAGCAAAATATTACTTTTAAATAAGACAACAGTAACTAGCCTTTTGAAAATCCAAGTTTTCCTTGGGTTCATGTCCTGCAGGTAGAGTTTTCACTGATTCTGCTTCTATATCTGAAGTGGGGAAAGAGCTTCACAGTGTTTTCTTATTTGTGTTTCCTGGGTCTGACCTAGGTGTGAGCTGTTTGACCAGAACCTGAAGCTAGCTTTGGAAGTGGCAGAGAAAGCTGGGACTTTTGGACCTGGGTCATAGATTAAATCTACAGTGGACTCCCAAATTCTGAGAGATCGTGCAGCATGGGTTCTATTGTTTCCACTCCATTGGAGATCCCAGCAGCCTTGTTAGTGTACTTGAAAATGGAAGGATACTGATATCTTGTCCTGATCCCTGAGCTTTAATGGTATGCTTTCTTCTTTTCTGTAGATGTCATGGTCCTACTTCCCAACTCTGTACAGATTTATTTATGGAGGAGGTAGGCCCATGAATGCTATAATAAAACATTCCTTTGATCCAGTGTTTGCTGTCCTTGGTCTTGTGGGAAGGGCGAAAGGAGACACAAATGGTAAAGGAATTCTGGGAAGTTGAAATACTATATTTTGGCAGAAATTAAAACATGTTGAATACAACACCTTGAATCATGAGCCCTAATTCTAGTCCCAGAACTATCAGTGAAACACTGTCATACTGTCCCCTTCCATCAAGGTATATAGCCTGCCTTCAACCACCAGCTTCATCTCTAAAATGATTATTAAATTACACAGTGTTCCAACTGAAGGCATCAGACACATCAGCTTAATGGTATCCATCTGTGCTTCAGCATTCCCACTCCAAGGAAATTAACATCTTTCCCTTTGGGATGGAAAGAGCACATACTGATGAGTAATTTTCCAAGGAAAACCATCTCTAGCTTTATTATTAGCCCTTTTGAAAGAATGAGTTAACTCTTTAGTATCAAATCTAGTTTTAATCTACAAGTCACCTTCTCCTTCCATCCATACCCTGTACTGTACTCAAGCTGTTGATGAGAATGGTGGCCTTCTCTCTTCCACTGGGGACTTGAGGTATTGGTAATAGCTACTGACCACTGCTGAGAGGCCTTAGGGCAGAGAAGTCACAGGTTATTGGTGCCTTGCAGCTGCAGGGAATAGGTAGGTGGGAATAGGTAGGATAGGGCCCAGGAGAAGAAGGGTACAGTACATACCCTGACTGCAGGAGTTTCCTATTCCTCTGAAAGCAGGAAATAGGAGCTAAGGAGTCCCAAGAACAAAGATTATCTTCCAGTGCCACCTGAGTGTGAGAAGGCGCTGAAACAGAACATCAAAGCTTGAGTGCTAGCCAGAGGGAACACTTCCTTTCTGCACCCCACTGTGTGCAAAGGGAGACCGTAGGTGAGAGGGTACTCCAGAGCCTGCAGTCTTCACTCAGCCTTCTTGGGCACTCGGCCCATCTTGGTGCGGATGTTTCGGAGCAGGAAGAACACAGCTGTGCTGGCTGTACAAATCATTTCAGCTACCCAGAAGGCTGTGCTCCAACTGTAGTGCTTGGCAATGGTGCTGAATGGTAGCCCAGCCAGAAAGCCGCCCACTGTTAGAGAGGAGGGAAAAGTCTGTAGGCTGCCTCCTGTCTCTAGCAGGCCTGTGTGCAAGGCACAGCAGGGGCAAGGCAGATATATTCTAGAAGGTATCACTTACCATTGGCCATGAGTCCCACAATAGCATGAGAGGTGCCACACAAATTGGGAGGGGCACTCTCATTGGCTATGACTCCAAACAAAGCAATAGGACCATAAGAGGAGAAACCAAAAACAGCTCCCAATACCAGGATCCAGATCTGCAAGGGTAGAGTGGAGTGCATGAGTCAGAAAGCTGCCTAACTACCTGCCCACCCCTGCCAGAAGGCAGACAAAATGCTTGACTCTCAGGAACAAGCAGTATGAAGGGTCAGTAAGTGACCCTCCTCACATACTCTCCAGTACAACTGATAATACAGAGCCAGAGTGACAGATGCCATACTAAGCAAACCTAAGAGCTTAGGTGGGTAAAGGAAAGTGGAACAGAAGTCATCCCTCCAAGTTAGAATGCTGACTTTTTCAGAATTTATGCGAGCTGGATTGGTAAGGGGCAAGGCAGAGGGACAGGACAAAGGCGAGACAGACCAGGAGAAAAAAAAAAACAGATATCTTAAGGCACCTCATGCTCTGTAAAGCCTGTGAGCTCAGCAAGAGGGTGGAGAGCCGGAGTCCAGAAAGCAACATCCTAGAAGCAGAAGAAAACCAGGCCCAGAGTGGAGGAGGGGAACCAAAGTACAGAAGAGAACTGAGGTATAAACAGAACTGAAAATGAAAATCAGAAGCAGAGAAAGGGTTGGCCCCTGCTGGAGCCAGAGAGAGGGAGAGAGCTTTCTCTCCTTGTACCCTGGCTCCACCCATCTCTCCCCCCATTTACCTTGGGGGAGTCACTGGTCACTGTAACCCGGAAGAGGTACATTGACACTGTCATGCCAGCCATCATGAACAGCAACAGGCTGTGGCGAGGGTTCCCGTAGACAGATAGCCCCGCCTGTGGATACAGTCCCAGTGATGTCAGGCCCTCAAAGCAGGGCAGAGCACCCCCATCCTGGACTCTGACACAACAAGGCCTCTGCTGGCAGCTCTTTGGCAATACCATCACAGTTCTTGGCCTCAGGCAGCTCTGAGAGGCCCTAGGACTTGCTCATTTATGTTCTGAGGCCAAATTCCATCCCTTCCTCCACCGTTGGGCAGGCACAGGACACGTGCTGGGAAGCTGCACCCAGTCCACCCCTGCCCCCAGTTTTCCTGTAGCAGTGGAGAAGCCTATAGCTAGACTGAAAGATTCCAGTTCTCTGGCATCAATTAAAACCCTTTTCCCTTCAGCCTTATCTCCACATCCCTAGAGAAGGATAACCTGGAATCATTTTTACCCATCCCAAACCAGCATATGCCAGACAGCCTGTATCCCAGGGCATCCTATCCCAGCCACACAGGGAAGACTCAAAAGGACCCTTCTTCCTGTCCCTTCTGCCCACTCACCTTCGCCATTGCCCTGTCTGACAGGTAGCCAGCTGCAATGCTGCCTACAAGGCCCCCAACCTCCAGGGCACTCACATAGGAGCTACCTATAGGGAAAGTTGTGGAAAAACAGGGGTGGAAAGGTGTTACACACTTATACTATAATGGCTTAACCCAGAGGGTACATAAAGAGCCCCTGAGGAGTTATCAACCATAGCTGCCAAAGTGGTGCCCAGCCTCAGGGAAAGAATAAAGAGGGTAAAGGCAAGTAGAGCCTAGATTTCCCGTCTTCTGCATTGGTTCCTGCTCCTGAATGCCCATCCCCATCGCAACGCTCATCTTACCCACAAGGGCGGACTGTCCTTTCTCCTGAATAAGGAAGAACTGGCCCCAGTCTGTACAGCAGGTCTTTACTCCAAATACCACAAGGTAGCCTGTGGAGAGCACCCACAGATAGGGGGATAGCAGCAGCTCCTGTAGGGTACTCTCCTCCTTCGAGGAGCCTAAAGATGGGAAGAAGCCAGGCCTCAGGCTCTGCTCCTGCTGTCTTGGCCCCACTGCACCACCACCACTCATTAACCAGCCACAGGAGCAGAGTCCATGGGTACCACAGAATTAGTGAATGGTATTCCCTTTAAGCCCCTGCTGTTCTGTCCCTGACTCCATTGCAAGTCTCAACAAATGAAAGAGAAACTGAGGATTGTGGCAGATGGAGGAAGGCACCCAAACCACTTAAACTGAGGATACTAACCAAGATAGGGAAAGCTGTGGTGTTGTGCAGAAGTACCAGAATTAATGAGTTATAGTATCTGTTGACTCTGCCTCTCCGGGCAGAGTTTTAGTTATTCCCCACCAAACCTCCATTGCCACCCATTCCCTACTCTATTGGCTAGCACAGGATGAGGCCTAAGACTAGTCCTCACAAAGTTCTGCCAAGTGAATGGTGAATAAAGGTGCCCAGTGGTTGGCTTGGGTGGGTGCAGGCTCACCCTTCTTGCCCTTGGAGGGGGTAGGGTCCAGGTTACGGAGGCCAACATCAGCAGGTTCATTGTGGATGAGCAGGAGACAGAGGAAGGAGACAACCACACACAGTACCCCAGACAGGGCCAGTGTGCTGCGCCAGCTGTAGCTCTGGGCGAGGATGGTTGCCAGGATAGGGCCCAGCCCTCCAGCCAGGTTCATGCTGGTTGACAGGATGGCCCACCAAGTGCCAAACTGAGATGGCTCAAACCACTGTGAGGCAGAGGAGGGCAGAATAGGTGCCTGACCTATAGCTCATGTTGATGGTGGGACTCAGGTGGGGCAGGCCCAGAAGCTCATATTACAGGGATGAGGGAGAGGGTGCTTCTGCTTGGCAGGGCCAATTCCTTCATCTGCCACCTGATCCCACCAATCTCCTAAAATATCTTGACAAGCAAGAAGAGCTGGCTGGGAACTCCTGAGGAATCTGCCATGGGTTAGGGGCGAAGGGGTGTTCCCATATGCCCTTTAGGATCCTTTATGCCAGTCCACTCAGGCTCAGTGGAAGCACTCACCTTCCGTAGGATCTTCCCACAAGGGGGCCAACCCAGCCCCTGTGCCAGGCCATTAAGGAACCAGAGTGCAGCAAAGACAGGTACTGTGGAGCTCCAGGAAAAGACTACGTTGACCAGGCCAACCAGGAGCAGCCCAGAGGAGAAAAGCCAGCGAGCACTCATCTGGTCGGACAGCACCCCACTCACAAACTTGCTGATGGCATAGGCTGCTGACTGGCTGCTGGTGATGAGCCCTGCAGCGGAGGGGAGCAGGGAGCAGGACACCTGGGGGGTTAGGGCAGAGCAGAGGCACAGGAGGGATGGAGGAAGGCATGGGGTCAGGTGTATAGAGGTGCCCAGCAGGGTGTCAGGTTCTTTCCCAGAGGAACAGGAGGAACTGCTCTGTGATCTTGACACTCAAGGAGACAGCTGTGTCTGCTACCTCTTCTGCCTGCCCAACCAATATCACTAGCCCCAGGCTGACCCATGACTTCTCAGCCTCTTGTAGAGTTCTAGCTGCAGCTGTCAGGGAACAAGAAGGAAGCATCTCCCCTCCCAGGGGTCTGCATATGCCTGATTTCCCACCTGACCCAAATGCTAACCTAAGTCCTCTAGCAGTTGTGTTGCCCCACCTCTGAACACTGGGTGATGGGTTCAGGATTAGAGTCAGGAACCTTGCTACATGCCAGGCCACAGGAAATCACTGAGCCAACTTCCCAGTGCTCAGTATCAGTAGCCAGAACTCAAGCTGCAACTTCTGCATCCACACAGGTGTGGAAACCTTGCTTAGAACCCCCAAACACTCAAACAGTGCCTCTGAGGGCACATTTGCGTTACAGGCACTCATATACCAGTTGGTCTGCCCTCTTCAGTCCTTTACCCACACTATGTACACAGACCTCAGAGTCCTTTCATCTGGCACATGCCCACTGCCCCCAGCCCTGCTGTGCAGAACACCCACACACACACACACACTCCATTCAAGCCTGTACATGTTGCACTGTCACTAATTATGTGCCCTGTTGGTTTTGTGTTCCCAGCCCACCACCCTGTCCTTCCAGGGCTCACCCAAATCATCCTTGTCCAGAGGGATCTCTTCCACCAATGATGGCATGACAAAGGAGAAGGTCTTGCGGTTGAAGTAGTATAGGCTGTAGCCCCCAAACATGGCTGAGAAGATCACAGTGCGGTAATAGCCATAGCTTTGGGGTGCCATGGTAGAAAAGAGCAGTCCCTGCAGGCCAGGACGCAGCCTCTTACCACAGCTCCTACTTGTAGCTCTCAGTGCTCAGATTTGCTGAGTTGGTTTTTTTCTGCTCCCTCCTCCACCCAGCCTCCTAGGCTCCCTTTATAGCTGCCTTCTGGACAATCATTAAGCCTGAGGCGGCTCCTAGGGAACCCAGTGTCCTGAGGGAGACAAGAAAACAGATTACTGAGTCCCAAACTGCCGGAGTGGGAGGGTCCCAGAGGGAGGCATGCCTGTGAGCCAACCCAGCACCCTGTGTCCTCAGAATTTCTGTCTTTCCCTCCTTTTCCTTGTCAGCTTGCCTGTGCAACCAGCTGTGATTAAAGGCTCAACCTAATTACTTTTGTCTGCAGGAACCCAAGGGAGTCAGGGGCAGGATGAACAGAACCGCCCTCTATACCCCTGCTCCCTCCATCAGAATGGTTCAGTGAGGGCTTACTGGTTGCCAAGCACTGCAATAGGTGCTAAATTAGTTTCTGCTTTCTCTCTCTTCTCCTCCAATCAGACATACCCCCAAGAACCCCACTTTCAAGTCTTCTAGAGCACACCTCACCCAATGCTTAGCACACAATGGGGCCCAACTGTGTCCTAACACAATAGTCCCCCCATTATCCTCAGGGGATACATTCCTAGACACTCACCTCCCCTCTTTCTTAGATATATCTATGATAAAGTTTAATTTGTTAGATGCAGTAAGATATTAACAAAAATAAAATAATTCTAACAATATACTAGAATAAAAACTTAAAACTTATGAATTGTTTCTGAATTTTCCATTTAATATTTTCCCACTGCGGCTGACTTCAGTTAACTGCAAAATGAAAAGCAAGAGCATGGATAATAGGGGACTCCTGTAGTTGCAGTATTTCAAGCAGAAGAATCCCTCTAGTTCGCCCCACAGCGTCACGCAGAAAACCCCACCGAGGACTGAGGTCTTGATGGGTCCCCATTACCCTGCAACGTCAGTTCGGGCTTCCGTCTGGCTGGGATTTGCAGGGGATCTTAGCGGCCTGTGGGCGGAAAGATGCACCGCCAAGCTCCGGGGTGGGGTACTGGAGCGCCCTGTCTCCCGGGCAGGCAATGTGTCCCGGCTTTTCCGCTCAGCTAAGGCGGCTAGTGGAGCAGAAGGCGTGGGCGCGAGCTGAGCTGGCGGCCGCACGTAGTCTCCGGAGGCCCCTAGCTCTGGCAGTCAGAAGATCGGCCTGGCAGGGGCGCCAAGCGGCGAGGACGGGGAGGGCAGAGGCGGCGGGCTGTCGGCACCTGCCCAGCTCCAGTGTCCTCAAGCTACCCAGGACACCCGACTCCGGGACTGGGAACCACCGGGCCGGGTGCAGCAGCAGGAGAGACTGACAGTATAAAGAGGGCGCGCCAGCGTCTCGGCAGCCCCCAGACCCTGGAACTTTTCCCCACCCCGGAAGGGGCAGCCGCAGGAGCAACCCCGGGTTCTATCAAAAGTTAGGGTTCGCCAACAATGGGGACCCAAGAACGAAGATTCTCCCTCTCGCCCTACCCTCAGGTGACGCTCTTCCCCAGCATACCGCCTCCTACCTGGACAGAGGCGGGAATCCGGCTAAAACGGGGCGGGGCCAGGCCAGCGAGCACTGCGCATGCGCCGCGGGTGGAGCTGGTCCACCTTCAGGTGCGAAGGAGGCTTTTGGTCTTAGTCACACGGATTAAGCTGCTCCTTGTACGGGGACAGCGCCTCTTAGGATCTGGGCATCATATGTCCAATTCTAAATTGGTTACATTCAGTAAACCAGTTTCTAGTGAGTGCCTCCCACTACCAACACACGGGAATACTAATATAATAATTATTGTTTCCTAGTTGCTCACAGTATGTATTACAAAGTCTTGTAGGAGCACTCGGTAAGAAGTTAATGCGACCTCAGCACAATTTGAAATTTTATCTTGTGGTCAGACAAGAGAGAGAACAACATGGCCATAGTTTTCAAAGGAACAGATCCTGAGTAAACCATAAATTCTAATCCTGGGTCCTCTATATAATAACAGTGACCAAAGGCACTATCTGTGATTCCCATTTTTGGTGTTTGTTGTTGTTGTTGTTGGTATTGTAGAGTAAACCCAGGGACGGGAGCTTTATCACTGAGCTACATCACTAGCTTTTTAAATTTTGAGACCTGCAATCCTCCTGCCTCAACCTCCTAAATCTGTGGGATTACAGGCGTGGCCCACACGCCATGATTGTGATCCTGTTTCTTAACCAACCTCATAGTTCGTTGTGAGGACTTAACAGATGATATAGATGAGAGCTCAGAAAATTTGGGTAAGGGTTCTTCACAGCAGTGGCTTCCACCTGTTAAACCAAGTTCAAGACCAAGAGATTCCTGAAATAAAAGGTTTATGGTAGCCAGAAGAAAACTTCCATCCTGAGACAGTCACCAGCAGCAAGACTAGGTAGCACCTGGAAATATGTCTCCTGGATCTTTTTTTTTTTTTTTTTAAAGAGAGAGTGAGAGAGGAGAGAGAGAGAATTGTTAATATTTATTTTTAAGTTCTCGGCTGACACAACATCTTTGTTGATATGTGGTGCTGAGGATCAAACCCAGGCCGCACACATGCCAGGTGAGCGCACTACCGCTTGAGCCACATCCCCAGCCCCTGTCTCCTGGATCTAAAAAGTCAGAATATTTTATAATGAAAATTTGTGGGAAAGAAAGCTTAAATTGTTTGCATTGAATTTACATTGGCTATAGATATATTGGTTTATTGGCTATAAACAAAGTAGTCAATGTTTTAGGATAGTGTGTACAGTCAACAAAATGTGCCAGCTTAATGGTGGATCTCTGGGAATTTTGTTTGCTTAAGGTAGTGCAGATTGAAACCAGGGGCTAGGAGGCTGCTTTTTTTTTTTTTTTTTTTTTTAATAGACAAGGTTTTGCTAAATTGCCCAGGTTGAACTCAAACTTGTTATCCTGCCTTAGTCTCCCAAGTCACTGGAAGTAGCTGAAATTACGGGCTTGCACCACCATTCCTCACCTCTAGGAGTTTGGGGTTTTTAATGTTGTTGTTATCAAGGATTGAACCCAGGGGCACTTAACCACTGAGCCACATCCCCAGCCCTTTTTTGTATTTTATTTAGAGACAGGGTCTCACTAAATTGAGGGCCTGGATAAATTGCTGAGGCTGGCTTTGAACTTGTGATCCTCCTGCCTCAGCCTCCCAAACCACTGGGATTATAGGCGTTCACTATTGCACTCTGGAAGTTTTTCTTTATGGGGGATACTGGAGATGGAACTCAGAGGCACTCAACCACTGAGCCATATCCCCAGGCCTATTTTGCATTTTATTTAGAGATGGGTCTCACTGAGTTGCTTAGTGCCTCACTGTTGCTGAGGCTGGCTTTGAACTGGCGATCCTCCTGCCTCTGCCTCCTGGCCTGCTGGAATTACAAGTGTGGGACACTGTGCCCCGCCTTCTGGGAGTTTTGAGTCAAAGTTTCAACAGTTATTCAGGAAGGTTATGTTTTGTTTTGTTTTGTTTTGGCCTGAAACTGTCCAACTGTTGACTGATTAACTTCTCTTATCTCTCCTCTCCTCCCTCTTCCTACCTTTGTAGTGAAATTTAGGACATCTCACCAATCCCACAGAAGAATGGCTGAAGGAATTGTGTTTCAAAATTGAGAGCAAAGATCTTTTAGACTAGGACAGGTGGTCAGGGATGGCAGGAGGGGGAGATGAGATGGAATGGGAAAGAGTGTTGCTGAATTTCATTAATTCAATATGTATCACACATATTGCTAGGGAGCCTAGCATATTCTAGGCACTGTGTTGTTAGTGAAATACACAAAAGGAACAGGAACTGAGTTTCTTCTTAGCAAACAAGAGGGTTAGGGAGCTAGCTCAATGATAGAGCATATGCTTAATATGCCAAGGCCTGAGTCTGATCCCCAACACACAAAAGAAAAGAAGAAGAAAAATTTTTAAAAAATCAGAAAAGCAATGTGGTATAAAGAATCTCTGCTTTATCTAACAAATATGGGAGTCCTTGAGCTTTTCCTCCTTTCTACCTTTTAAGGTTTAACATACACACAATAAAGTATAAAAAGTGTATGACTGGGCTGGGGTTGTGGCTCAGAGGTAGAGAGCTCAGGTAACATGTGTGAGGTACTGGTATATATATTTAAAGTGTATGACTCTTAAGTGTAACAGCTTAATGAGTTTTTTGTTGTTTTTCTCTGGTGCTGGGCATGGAGCCCATGGCCTTGGGCATGGTAGACAAACACACATCTTCTTCCACTGAGCTATACTTCCAGCTTCAGTTTTGTTTTTTTTTAAATATAGGTTAATACTCCTGTAACTACCACCCAGATCAAGTTAACAGTCCTGACATTTTATTTTGGAAATTTTTAAACCTACAGAAAAGTTGCAAAAATACTCTAAGTAGTCTTCACATTTCAACACATTTAATGTTTTGTCAAGTTTACTGAATCCCTCTATTTGTATGTATGTGTGTGTGTATTTGTTGTTGAACCATATTATCCCAAGAAAATATATTCATTAACATGTGGTTCATGTTTAAATGTTTCCAGTTTTTCCAAAGATGCCTTTTTTTTTTTTTTTTGGACCAGGAATTGAACCCAGGGGCACTTATCCACTGAGCCACATTCCCAGCTCTTTTTTATTTTTCATTTTGAGAGAGTCTCACTAAGTTGCTTAGGGCCTCTAAATTGCTGAGGCTGGCCTCAAACTTGTAATCCTCCAATTCGGCTTCCCGAATCACTGGGATCACAGGTATGCACCACCATATCTAGTTCCCTTTTAGAGCTCTTTTAAAATCTGTGCTTGCTTTGGCAGCACATACACTGAAATTGGAACTATAAAGAAAGCATTGCCCCTGCTCAAGGATGACACGCAAATTTTGAAGCATTCCATATTTTTTTGATAATGTGGTAAACACTTGATTATCTGTATAACATTGACTGATTAACACCATTTTGGCCACCAGTACTTTGGCTAGAGTGGAAGAAGATGGCCTTGGTGTTCCTTGTTGTCTGGAAGATTGTTCCTCTTTGAATTCCTGGGCTTGTCTTCTAGTTTGCATTTGCTTGAAATTTTATCGAAACCCTTTAATGAAAAAAATAAATATTTGGTTTCAAATGGCAATAAATAAATAGATAAATAAAATTAAGTCCAGAATCTAGCCAGGCACAGTGGCACACATGTGTAATCCCAGTGTCTTAGGAGGCTCAGGCAGGAGAATCTCAAATTTGAGGTTAGCCTTGGCAATTTAGCAAGACCTTTTCTCAAAATAAAAACTAGAAAGGTCTGGGGATGTAGCTCAGTGGTAAAGCACCCCTTAGTTCAATTTCTAGTACCAAATTTTTTTTTAAAATGTAAAGATTACTATCAGTGCAAATTAATGAATTTTTAAATTCAGTGTATATGCCTATACATATATATATAATTAATATATATATATATATATATATTAATGTTCAAATTGTCCCACCTTTGACCATTGGGAGCCCCATGTATGTTTAGCTTTTAAATGTTTTCCATTGTTAAAGTTATATATTATCATTAAAGTATATTTGGAAAAGGCAAAAAGAAATTTTTAAATTTTTATTTATTTACTTATTGTATAGAATCATGCATTTTTACATATTGTACATAAATGGAGCACAACTTCTCATTCCTCTAGCTGTACAAGACAAAAAGAAATGGTAAGTACCAGATGGAGATTACCACTTAATATTGAGTATTGCTATTTTTACCCTTTTTTGCCTACACTTGTGTGCATATACATATAGATATATTTGTTTATATATACTGTGTTAGAATATACATATTTTATATATATATATATTGTGTGTGTGTGTGTGTGTGTGTGTGTGTGGTGCTGGGGATTGAACCCAGTGCCTTATACATGTGAGGCAAGCACTCCACTGAGTGAACTATATACCCAGTCCCCCATATTCTATAATTAAGAAACTACATACCTTTTGCCATTACACCCAGCTACTGTGTGGTATAGAAGAAGTGCTCTGTGGGTTGGGGATGTGGCTCAAGAGGTGGCGCGCTCATCTGGCATGCATGTGGCCCAGGTTCAATCCTCAGCACCACATACATATAAAAATGTTGTGTCTGCCGAAAACTAAAAAAATAAATATTCTAAAAAATAGAACAAGTGCTCTATTAGTTACAGAACAATCATTTACACTATCTTCTTTTTTTCTTTCTGTTTTCTTTTTTTGTAATGCTGGGGATTGAACCCAGTGCCTCATGCTTGCTAGGCAAGTGCCGTACCACCAAGCTATACCCCCAGCCCTAAACATTTTTATATTTTGATTTTTTTCCCCATTATAGCATAAACCCTTTTTTTCTTTTGGCAGTACTGTGTATCAAACTCAAGGCCTTATGCATTTTAGGCAAGGGCTTTAACAATGATCTATACCCTCTTCTGCCAGCATAGATTTTTTTTTTTTTCCCCTCTTACTGGGGATTGAATCCTGGGGTGCTCTACCAAGCTATTCCCTAGCATGCTTTAGTTTTCATTTTGAGGCAGGATCTCACTGAGTTGCCCAGCTG